CCGCCACACCCACTCGCAGGGCCCATTTTGAGGCGGGCGGCTACTTTGGTTTGGACAGGGCCCAGGTGACCTTCTTCCAGCAGGGGTTCCTGCCCTGCATGACAGAGGAGGGCCAGATCATCATGGAGAGCAGCAGCAAGGTGCGGGACAGCAGCAACGCAGCGTGCGGGTGCCTGTGAGCCGGGGCGACGGGGCCCGGCGAGCGGCGACGGGGCCCGGCGAATGGCGCCGGTGCGGTGTGCCTGGGGTTTGGCAATCACACGAGCGCGTTCGCATTCCGTCTGGTGAGTTCTGAGAACTTTTGCATGCACTCTCAGCCGGGAAGATCACAGCCGTTACTAATCGCTTTGTCACCAGGGGGTGAGAGGGAGGGCCGGCTGGAGCTTGGCTCGATGGGTGGGCACTGTGGGGCAAACCACGGTGGTGAAAGAGTCGGCGTGACTCCCCAATCGGTCCACCTCACCGCCGCCGCCGCTCAAACCAGATCGCCAAGGCGCCCGACGGCAACGGCGGCCTGTACCGCGCGCTCCGCGTCAGCGGCGCCCTGGCGGCCATGCAGGCAGCAGGCGTCGAGGCGATCGACGTGTACTGCGTCGACAACAGCCTGTCCCGCCTGGGTGACCCCGAGTTCGTCGGCTGCTGCCATGAACGCGGCGCCCAGGTGCGCGGCACAGCTGCCAGCCGAAGGGCCGCTGCTCCTGGCCGGCTCAGCCGGAGCAGCGATCCCCGCCCACTGCACCTGTGGCGCAGCGGGGATGGAGCTGCCCGGCCCGCCGCCCTTGTCTGACGCGCCGCGCTCACCTTGGCTGCGATTTTGTGAACCTAGCCCCGACGGCTCCGCGCTTCCTGCTCCCGACACCCGCTGACGTGGCGCCCGCAGGTCGGGGCGCGGGTGCTGGCCAAGGCGTGCCCCGAGGAGAAGGTTGGCGTGTTTGCGGCCACGCCGGAGGGCCGCCTGCAGGTGCGGCGGCCGCGCCCGCCCCTGAGTGACGCGCCTGGACCCACCCCCCAACACGGCCTCGTTGGCAAAAGTGATCGAGGCCCTTTCTTGTCGCGACGCGTGCTCTCATTAGCCTGCGACATTCTTGCTCCATCATTCTCAAAACATCCATCAATCACCCGCCCCCACCGGCTTTGATCACAACGGCAATGAGCCCGCCAGCACTTACCAGTGTCTTCACCTGTGTTTTGAGACGAACCGGAACCCTGCCAAACCCCTGAACCCTGCCGCACCCATTGCTGACCTGCAGGTGCTGGAGTACTCTGAGCTGGACCCCGCCAAGGCGTCCTCCACCGACCCCGCCACCGGCCAGCTGTATTTCAACTGGTCGAACATCTGCATGCACTACTTCAGCATCGACTGGCTCGCGACCACGGTGGAGGTGCGCGCCTCCCGCACGCGCGTGCGCACGCGGGGCCGAGCTCGCGGCACCGAGGCACGCCGAGGGGTGGCCGGGCGTCCTGGGGTTGTGTCGCTGCTCGCTTGCCTGCACGGTCTGTAGGTGCGACGGTTTCACCCCATTGGCGGCCCCGGCGACCTGGTGACAGACATGGGGCCGGCCCACGCTCTGGCCAGTCACTGCCACGCCTGGCGGGACACCAATCATCCTTCCTGGCGGCGGCTGCGCGCACAACTCAACCAATTTTGCAGGCCTTGTCGGGCCCCGGCGCCGCGTACCACATCGCCCGTAAGGCCATCCCTTCGAAGGACGGCTCCAAGGTAAGCATAATCATTCATCACCCACGCCAAGGCACCCAGCTGCGCGCCGCAAGCGCTGCCGCCGCCGATGGGCGCGCTCTGCTCGGCCGGCAGTGGCGTAGCGGTCGTGCGTACTGGAGTCTGCAGGCACAACAAAGTGCCAAGCTAGCTCAGCACATACATGCTCGCTTGGCTGGCCCCCAAAACCCTGCTACCTGGGCTCCCTTGAACAGGTCCCGGGCGTGAAGCTGGAGATGTTCATATTCGACCCCTTCGCCACCGCCGAGAGGACCGCGCTGTTCGAGGTGCGCCGCGCCGCTTGCGGGCTGCTTTGGGCGCCTGCCTTGCTCGGGCACGCGCGCCGGGCTGGCTAGGCGGGGGGGGGGCGCCAACTGTTGTCAGGCACAGAGACCGGCCTGCAGGGGAGCCTGAGCCAGCTTGCCGGTGTCCAACGCCCCTGTGGCCCTGGGTCTTCCTCCCTTACTCCAAACAAAGCCAGCCGTGGCGCACCGGGCCCCTGAGTGCAGCGCGGCGCCGGGGAACCCACACGCACGCGCTCACGACTCGCCAAATCGCAGGTCGCGAGGGAGGACCACTTCGGGCCGGTCAAGAACGCCCCCGGCAGCGACACCGACTCGCCCGACACCGCGCGTGCCCTGCTGCTCGCCCAGGGCGCCCGCTGGGCCGCCGCTGCTGGCGCTGACGTGGCGGAGGGCTGCGCGGGGCTAGAGGTGCCGCCCCTGGTGTCGTATGCTGGGGAGGGGCTCGAGGGGCTGGTGGGCGGCAAGGCGGTCGGCGCGCCGGGGCCGTGGCTGCTGGGAGCGGACGGATCGATTGTCTAGCTTTGGGGTGTCATGCCGGTGACGCATTGTGCATTTGTGCGAGCGGCGGCGTCGCAAGTCGCCGCGGCCTCAGCTCTGTGAGCTGCGCGGCCATGATCCTTGGTGGTGTTGTCGGGTCTGCGTGCCACGGATGGCGAAGTTGCAGGGGCTGCATCTCAGGGTGATCATAGACTGTTGCTGCAGCTGTTGTATGGGTGTGCGCACCTGCCTCTGCAGGATGACGGGCAGGATGCTTGCTGATTGATTGCGAATTCATCTGCACGAGAAAGTATAAGAAGCACTACTTAGCATGGCTGGCTTACGAGAGCGGCCACATGGTGCCTGGAATGAGCCCTTTTGCAACCCCCTTTCTTGCGTTGCGTGCTGTCGAAGCGGTGTGATCAGGGCGTTGGAAGTAGCCAGCATTGCTGAAGAACCATGTCGCACTTGTGTGGCGCATGGGCGCATCATACCGCTGCGCATGCTGCAGAATCTCGATCCCCGGCCCTGACTTGGGATGCGGCAATCTCTTATATCTGCAACATAGCTTGTAATGCAACAGACAACTCCGCAGGTGCAGGGGCGGGGTACAGCCTGCCTGCAGGTGTAAGGGGCGTGCCGGTCGTCCTGTTTATGTTTGGCTTGTGGTCCCATTATGCTGTTGCAATCATGGCCAAATTTCTTCTATAAGAGCTGCATGTTCTTTCGCACGAGCTGCTTGGAGCGGAGCACAACTATTTGTGAGCCATGCGCATGGGCGGCATGGTCATGGTCTGCGCGACGGTACTGCCTGGGCTGCGCCATGCACACGCGACACATGGCACTGCGGCTGCAGCGACCCACTTTCATCGTCCCACGGACCCCACCTGTCAGCTAAAACGTATGTAAGCTACACATATCAGTGCTTGTAGACTCTTACTATTCCCGGTCGTGCTCGTGCAGTTGAGGCTGAAGCTCTGCTTGATCATCTCGGCTCGGGTGAAGGCCCTGAGTGCGCTTGTCAGCCTATCGTGTGATTGAATCTTGGTAGCAAAGCTGGTTCATTGAGCTCTTGCAGCCATTGCTCGCAACCCTCGTAGTGCACTCCCCAGAGGGGAGCCATTGCTTCAGCGCAAGGTCGGGAAACAGGAAGAGCGGAGCAGCATAGTGTCTCTGAAGATTCGCGCCTGACAGGTTCCAACGGGTCCAGCGCAGCAAGAGGCGAGCTCCGCCCCGGTGCCCCCCGCCACAGTGCTGCACGGACACAGCTGCCGCGCCTAGGCGGACTGCGCCCGCGCCCGCGCCCGCGCGGCAGGCGGCCCCCATGTGCGCCGCGCCATGATGGGGCTACAGCAGCGGCCGCAGGCGGCCGCAGGCGGCGCGCCCGTAAGCGCGTTTGCGCTCGAGGCCGGCGCCCATGCGGCGTCCCCTGCTCGGCAGGGCCCGGGCGAGGCGAGGGCCATGGCGGCCGTTCCATCACTAGAGGAAGGCGAACTCAGGAGCGCGAGCTTGCTTGCCGGGCCACGCGGCCCAGGCGGTGACCTTGCAGCGCCCGCGACGTCGGCGCGAGGCGATGCGGCGAGGGCGCCCGCCGATGGTGGCGATGTGGACGGTATCATCGAAGGCGCCCTGGCCGATGTCGCGGCGGCCGCAGCTTCAGCTGAAGCTGCGGAAGCTGCCCGTGGCCCCCCTCAAGATCAGCGCTCGGAGGGTGCAGCCACCGCGCCCGCCGCCCCAGCCAGCGGCAGCGGCGGCGAGGCCGGCGGGGGCGGTGCATCCCATGCAGCTCCCGCGAGCGGCGGCGCCGCGGCGGCGCCTGGGGCGGCGGCGGCGGCGGCGGCGCTGTTCCACCAGCCCAGCCTTGAAATGGGGGAGGTGAGGGATGGCGCCTCCAGTGAAGAGGAGGGCGCCGCCGCCCCCGCCGGCCCGGGGCCCAGCAGAGGCCTGGGGGACGAGGAGGGAGAGGCAGTGGGGCGGCCCCGCCGCCGCAGCCTGAGCCGCGGCGTCAGCAGGAGCAGGAGCAGGGGGCGCAGCAGGAGCAGGAGTCGGAGCAGGGATGGCGGGGGCGGCCTCAGGCGGTATTCTAGGGATAGGAGCAGGGGCGGCAGCAGGAGTGCGAGCGGCAGCCGCGGCGGCGACCGGCAATGGGCGCGGCGGCGCAGCAGCGAACGCAGCAGGAGCCGGAGCCGTGGCCGCGGGGGGTGGCGCAGCGGCGGCGGCGGCGGCGGGTACAGCCGCAGCGCCAGCCGCAGCCGCACGCGCAGCCGCGAGCGCGACTGGCGGGTTGATCATGATCGCGGCCGCGGCCACGACAGGGGCGGCTGGGGCGACCGCCAGGCGCGCTCGTGGCGCCGCAGCCGCAGCCGCAGCCGCGACGGGGACGCCAGCCGCGAAGGCAGCCGGGGTCGCGCTTGGCGGCGGCGGGGGAGCCGCAGCCGGAGCCGGAGCCGCAGCCGCAGCCGCAGCAGGCGGCGCGCGCGCAGCGGGGAGCGCCGGGAGCGCGGCCGGGAGAGGGCGGACGATCCCAGGTTCCATTTGGGGCCCCGCATGCCGCGATCTGACAGTATGCGGGAGCGCGACAGGGAGGGGCGGCAGCATAGGGAGTCCTCTGATAGGGACCGCGACCGCGGGCGCGAGCGCAGCCGCGGCGGTGCGGGCTGGGGTGACGACAGGGCCCCCACTGGCGGCGGCGGCGGCAGCCGGCCACGCCGCCGCAGCGCCAGCCGGAGCCGCAGCCGGAGCCGCAGCGGGGCACCAGTGGGGTCGGCCGCGGCGGCGCCGCCGGAGAGAGGGGGCGGGAAGCGCAGCGGCGGCGGCGGCGGGGGTGGCGGCGGCGGGAGCAAGCCGCGCTTCCGCAACCCTGTGTATGTGATCAACCCGCCGCCAAAGGACCCAAACATTCGTTACTGGCGAGAGCGGGACGGGTTCATTCACGACAGGCACGGCAACGTGTTTGACCCGGAGACAGGGGAGGTCATCAAGGGCCCTGGCAAGGCGGCGGCGGAAGCCAGCCAGGCGGTCCACGAGCAGCGCGACGGCTCGCGGC